TCGGCGCAGCTCTCCGCGAGGCCAAGCGGCCCCGCGACGGCCCGGCGCCCGCGGCCCAGCTCGCGAGCTCCGACGACGACAGCACGACCGACGACGACGCGGACCCCCACGCGCTCTTCGTCGCCCAGCTCTGGACGCTCTGAGGCGGCCCCGGCGCGGCCGCGGCGGCGGCCGCCGTTCTTCTTCCTCTCTCTTTAACCATCAAGTTTAGCTTTTTTCTTGTTTCGGTTTCGGGCGTTGCAATAATAGGGCGCCAACTGATCGAGCCGGCACCGCTGGATGTGGTTCAACATAGATGCAACAAACTGGCCTTCGCTGAAAACGAGGTCCAGCTCTCCAGGCTCTTCGCGTAGTACACCTCCGCGATGCAGGCCGAGCAGGAGCAGTACCTGCGCAAGGTCGCCGGCAAGGGCCAGGAGATGGTGCAGCAGATGGTCCAGTCGCTGAGCAGCGCGCTCATCTACCCCGAGGCCGGCAACGTCGCCACCAACGAGAAGCTCTGGGACGTCTACGCGTCGGAGTGGGGCAAAGAAGCCCCCTGGGTCGTCGAGATGGCGGCGACGAACCGCGACGGGGCCGTGGCGCTCGACGCCGTCGGCGACGAGTGGGCGCCGCGGGCGCACACGGAGCGCGTCGTCGACGAGTGGATCCTCTCCGAGGTGACCCCGGAGGCGCGGTGCTGCGAGATCGGGTCCGGCGGCGGGCGCATCGCGGCCCTCGTCGCGCCGCGCGTCGCGTCCCTCGCGTGCTGCGACGTGTCGGCGAAGATGCTCGCGCGCGCGGAGGCCGCGCTCGCGGGCGGACCGGCCGCGACGTCGTTCCACCTCGTCCACGGCGACGCGGCGCCGTCCGACGCGGGCTTCGGCGCCGGCCCGCGGGCCTACCCTCCGACCATGGCGCGGGGCTTCGACTTCGTCTACTGCTTCGACGTCATGGTGCACCTCGACGCGCACGCGATGTACCGCTGCCTCCGGCGCGTCGAGAGCTTGCTCGCGGACGGCGGCCGGGCCTTCGTGTCCACGGCGAATCTGAAGGCCCCGGACGGCTTCGCGCGCTTCGAGAAGCAGAGCAAGTACTCCGTCGGCGGCTTCTTCTTCGTCACGCCGGAGACGGTCCGCGTCCTCGCGGACAAAGCGGGCCTCGCCGTCGTCCGCGAGCTCGACGCGCCCGACGCGTCGAACACGTACTACAACCGCGACTACCTCGCCATCCTCGCGCGCAAGGACGCGTAAAGTACTCGGTCGATGCCCCCGATACTGCTCGTACTTACGAGTTCGCCTTAGTCGAGCTCCGCGATCGTCAGGCGCGCGTGTCGCGCGCGGACGCGGCCGCCCTCGAGCTCGTCGAACGCGACGGCGTAGGCGTGGTGGAACGTGTGCTTGACGGCGCCCAGCGCCGCGACGCCCCCGGCCGCGACGGCGGCGTCCGGGAACGCGGGGTCGCCGACGACGGCCACGCGGAGCGGCCCGGCGCCGGGCACGCGCCGCGAGACCGTCGCGGACCGCGACGACTCGTCGGGCACGTAGGGCACGGCCGCGACGCGGCTCCGCGGGGCCCGCGATCGGCCCTGCTTCCGCGCGGCCGCGGCCGCGGCGACGGCCGCGTCGTCCTTGACGAAGAAGAAGGTCCGGCCCGCGTCCGCGGCCCCCCGCGAGACGCGGACGGTGAGCAGGGCGTCCGCCGCGTCCGCCGCGGCCTGGACCGTGCCGCGCGACTTCACCCTGCCGTGGCGCGGGCGGCCGAGGGCCTTGCACGACGGGTGCCACTTGAGCATGCCGACGGCGACGACCTCGTCGTCGGACTTGAAGCCGAAGCCGCAGATCGTGCACGTCGGCACGTTCGCGTCGACGACGGCCTCGAGCTCGTCGCCGATGGCGTCGAGGACGCCGTCGACGTCGCCGTCGACCGCGACCTCGCGCGCGCCGGCTCTCGTCTTCACGGCCGCGACGACGTGGCCGCGCCGCTCGAGCGCGTCGCGCGACGCGCAGGGCGCGCACCGTAGGCGGGACGTCGACGACGAGCTCGCGCGCTCCGCGACGCCGCCGCAGCGGCCGCACGTGAAGCACCCGCGGTGGAACGTTCGCTCGCAGAACGCCTCGCGCGGCGCGTTCGCGTTAATAGATTTGTTGCAGGCCGGACACCGGGGCAGGGCCGGGCCGTCTCGCATCTTCGCGAGCGCCGCCGCGTTCGCGGGGGGACGCGCGGCCGGTGCTTTGGACGACTTCTGGCGCCGTGGAGTCGGTGCGGCGTTTTCCTTGTCGCTCGAGCCGAAGAGCCACGAGAACCACGACTTCTTCTTCTCGAGCTTCGCGGGCGCGTCGCGACGACTCACACTCTTCAGCTGCACGCGCTGGAATTCCTCCGTCATGCTTCCACGCGTGCCAACAAGAGCTCGTAATGCGCGGCAAGTTCTCAACGCTCGGACGTGACCGCGAACCGAAGTGCCGGACTCGTAGGCCTACTCGTCCGCGCGCCTAGGCCAGTGCCCCGATCAACGTACATCTAGGTGCACCCATAGGAAATTAATTAATAAAGATCAATCATCGAATTCCGGCCGGCGGAGCCAGAGTCATTAGTCGTCCATAGAGGCTGTACGTCGACCGCGCGCGCGGGCGCGGTGTCGCGGCGGTCCGCGGGCTGAAATCACGGCCAAAATTGGGTTATGGTCGTATCAAAGCAAGTTTGATGATATTCGCGCGTTAATTGCACGTTTGCGATGGCTTTTTGCGCGCGGTCGCTGGTTCGGGTCGCGAAATCGCAAGATTTAACTTCAACAAAAGTGCTGAAGTTCAACAAAAATGTTGACTTTTAAATCCAGGCTATCAGAATCTGAGTTTTGATCGGTGCACTGGCCTAGGCGCTCCTCCCGCGAGAGTCCGGTTCCCCCGTGGGTCTCGGCTAGGCCCGGGCTAGCAGTAAGCAACTCCAGGCCAGGCCCCCCGACGCCTCCTACTCCTACTTACGAGATCGCCAGCCCGAGAACCACGGCGACGACCGCGGCGAAGATGACGGCCTCCACCAGGACCCCCCGCTCGGACCGTCGCTTGTCCGCCTCGGCCTCGGCCTTGGGCGAGAAGTGGAGGGGCACCCAGTCCATGTTCGCGTAGCGGTCCAGGTTGTGGAACTGCTGGTGCTCGAGCCGGAAGAACATCCAGGACGCGCGGCGCAGGATCTCGAGGGGCGCGAGGAAGGGCGTCACGTAGACCATCCAGGGGCTCGACCGCTGGCTCACGAGCGTCAGCGTCCACACGAAGCGGCCGAAGAAGTCGAAGATCGTCGCGACGTAGTAGACGCACCGCGGCGCCGCGAGGCGCCGGCGCAGGGGCGCGTAGGCCTTAGAGCAGGGGTTCTGCGTCGCCATGCCCAGGCCCCAGTCCTGCGCGACGTCCCACCAGAACGAGTAGAGCGTCGACGCGAGGAAGGTGACCAAATACAGCGAGTTCGTCACGTTCCGCGTCGTCGAGTCGCGGCCGAAGGACGGCAGCGCGTCCGTGTGGAACTGGGAGATGGCGACGACGGCGAGGGACCCGACGTACTTGGACGCGTTGAAGAGGTGCGGCCACCTCGACCGCGACGCGCGAAACCGGCTCGCGCACTGCGCGAGGCGCAGCGCGAGCGGCGCCGCGGACACGACGGGCATGACCACGGCCTTGAAGGGCTTGCCCCGGTCGACGCAGAGCGCGCAGTTCGCCGCGGCCGCGCCGCAGGCGCGCGACGGCCCGTAGGCCACCGTCGGCACCAAATAACAGGCCGACAGCGCGACGTCCTTGAGCACCTTCACCAAACTCGTGAGCACGTCGGCCGCGAGCGTGTCCCGGAACTTCACCTGGCCGCCGAGCCAGCTCGACAACGCGGCCCGGAGCGTCTTCGTCAGCGGTGGCGTCGACCGCAGGATCCAGACCCCGTAGAGCGCGCCGCCGACGCCGAGGAGCGCCGGGTGGAAGAGCGCCGGGACGCCGAGCGATGGGAACGCGCCGGCCCGCGTCTTCGTGTAGATGAGCAGCGACGCGAGGTAGAGCGTGCACGCCGTCGTCGCGCGCAATAATTGGTCGCGCCAGCAGAGCGGGCCCGGCAGCTCGAGCATGTAGATGTAGTTGACGCGGCACGCGACCCAGGCCCGGAGGAGCGCCGCCCAGCAGAACATGGCCAGCACGCCGCAGCCGCACCAGCGGTACACGGCGAGCCCCGCGTCCGTGAGGATGCCCGACCGCGCGCCCGCGCGGTCCACGACGAAGTCGAAGCAGACCCAGAGCAGCAGGCTCCCGCAGACGCCCACGCGCGCGCCGACGTGGAAGGACGGCACGTCGAGCGCCGCCGTCTGCTTCGACAGGAGCTCGCAGCGCGCGAGCGTGCCGTCGCCCGCGTGGAAGCGGTCCGCGAACTCCCGCTCCGTGCGGTCGATCGCCGCCGCGAGCGCCGGCGGCGCCGCGTCGCCGCCGCCCGCGGCGAAGTCGAGGGCGCCGAGGAAGGTCTCCGTGTCGAGCCGCCGCGGCGCGTCGTCGTGCGCGCGGTCTTTGGCCGCGTTCTTGTTCCATTTCTTCACGATCTTCCGCACCGCGACGGCGTTGATGAGCGCGAAGGACTCGAGATGCCGCAGCTCGCGGTAGAGCTGGACGTAGGCGGCCCGCGCGCTCGCCTCCGCCGTCGCCGCGACGGTCTCCGAGGGCCGCTCGCCGGTCTCGCGGTCCGCGCGCATGTGCGCGAGCTCGCGCTCGACCTCGTCCGCCGTCCGCCGGTAGAACGCGTCGACGCGCCTCGCGTCGCCCTCGAGCGCCGCGGCGAAGGAGGCCTCGCGGTCGTGCCCGGGCGTGCGCGTCGCCGCGAGCTCCGTCGACGCGGCGCCGAGGAGCGGCGCCTCGAGGGGCGCCGGCGACGGCGGCCGGAGCGGGGTCTCGAAGCTGCTGCCGCTCCGCTGGGGCTTGCTCCGGCCCTTGATGACGTTCTTCAGGCCGCGGTAGTCCAGGTAGTGCTCCCGCCACGGCGGGTAGAGGAGCGTCTCCAGCGCCTCGCTGAAGTGGGGCATCGCGAGCGGGCCTTTCTTTTCGAATTCTTCAGCGTCTCACCATCGTCGGGCTGCTTTCACAAACAACGTCAACTTCGCGTATAAGAATTCAAACCGGGCAGCCCCGGGCACGGTTGCGATGGCCATGGAGGGCCCGTCGCGCCAGGACGCGACGACGATCCTCGCGCAGTACGACAAGGCCGTGCGCCACGAGCCGCGGAGCGTGAACATCATGGACAAGGAGGTGCCGCGCGTGTCGCTGCCCATCCTCTGGTGGCTCCAGGCGCGCACGCGGGCCTACGTGCTCGAGCGGCGCCTGCGCACGGTCTGCCGCAAGCACGGCGAGCAGTGCGGCGGCCTGCGGCTCGCGACGCCGCCGGGGTCGCCGGAGCGGAAGGCCGAGCCGGCCCGCGACGACGAGGCGAAGCTGCGGGCCGCGCTCCGGGACGCGGACAGCCGCCTCGACGAGCTGCGGCAGGGCGCGCTGTCGGCGCTGTCGAGCGCCGAGGAGCGGCTCGCGGCCAAGGAGGCGAAGCTCGCCGAGGTGTCGTCGAAGCTCGAGGGCCGCGAGGCGTCGCGCGGCGCGGAGCGCGCGTCGCGGAAGAAGTTCGCGGAGCTGCGGCTCGCCGCGGCTTTGAAACGCCGCGACGCGGCCGCGCGCGCCGCGGCCCTCGCCGCCGTCGACGGCGCCCTCGCGGCGGCGGCGGCGAGCGCCGCCGAGCGCCCCGCGGCGCCCGCGGCGCCCGAGGCGGGCGCCGCGGCGCCGGTCGCGCCGCACGCCGCGGACGCGTCGTTCCTCGCGTCCCTGAAGGCGTCCGTCGAGGCGTCCTGCGCCGGCAAGCTCGCCGCGGCCCTGGCGACCCACGACGCGCGGAGCCGCGCCGCCGTCGCGGCGCTGCTGGCCGCGCGCGACGGCGAGGTCGCGACGGCGCTCGCGGCCGCGGCGGAGGGCGCGGCCGTCGAGGGCGCGGCGGGCCTCGTTTCGCGGCGGCGGCAGCTCGAGGCCGAGTTCGCGGCCAAGGTCGCGGCCGTCGAGGAGGAGCAGGCCGCGAGCCGCCGCGCGGCGGACGTCGAGGTCGCGGCGCTCCGCACGGCGCACGCGCGCGCGGTCGACGCGCTGCGCTCCGAGCGGCGCGAGCGGCAGCGCAAGGACGACGACCGCGACGGCGCGCTCCGCGCGGCCTTCGACGCGACGCGCGCGGACGCGGACCGCCTCGCGCGGCGCGCGGCGAAGGAGGCCGACGACCTCGCGTTCGCGCGCCACGCGGCGGCGCTGGAGGACGCCATGCGGAGCCAGTCCGCGCGCCACGCGACGGCCCTGGCCGACGCGCTCCGCGCCTGCGACGCGCGCCACGCGTCCATCAACGCGG